CTGTGTGTTTCTATGCATGTCAGCTTGAACTGAGCTCCCAACTGTCCAGTGATCCCTGTGCCTCATCACTGCAAGGGGTTCTTATTTATCAGTTAGTAATTCCCAGTAGCTTCCTGCCTGGGTGAGTACAAGGACCGCAACCTGGGGACTGTCTGCAGCAAACCCATCTCTACCTTCAAGAGCTCTGGAGAAGACAAGGCAGTTCCTTAGACTCTGCGCCTCGGCCCTTACAAGGGCCCTCGCCCTTGTTGCATGTGCGGACATGCTGTGTTCTCCCCAGATGATACTGTTGGGTATCCTTCCGGTCTTAGAATCCTTGATATATCAGCTGTATCCTGTGTGCCTGCATTCCCTGTGAGCCCTGATCCCCAGTGCTACAAATGTTTCTTACTAGCATTTTGTGTCCTGCTTGATTTTAAGACCAGTGCCCCAGTGCTGAACTGTCCTCCTGCCATTCTTCTAAGTCCTGTATTCTGTGCTCTCCAAGTCTCCTGTCTCTGTGCTTACATGTTCCTGGTCACTGATCCCAGCCATACATGATAGGCCCTTTTTAAGATGGCCGATTGTTTATGATTGAATTATGAATAGTGTAGTTAAGTTTGGATGACGACTGAGTAACACATTATACAAAGTGAGAATGGTTTCTCCTCGTATTAAGATGGATTTCCTTTCTTTTCTTCTAGGTCTTATTGTCTCTATAACACAGATTTACTTCGGCAGAAAAATAAAAACGCCATGGCTTCATGGGCATTTTTGTTAAATACCTAATGTTGGACTAGCAATCTGAATGACGCCATCTTCAAAAATATCCTCCCTTATTCCTGGACTTCTTGACATCAGCCACGAACAACAGTGATGGAGAAAAGTGGTTTCAAAACTTTTAAGTATCTGAAGAACATTTCCACTTATCATTTCAGCTGTCCATGAATAGAAGTCAAAGCTCAATTTGCTATAATTGCAGCAGATCTGCACACCTACCGGACGTTTCTTGTCATGTGGACTGCGATGGTCCTGAAGAAAATATTATGTATGAACATTGTATGAGTTCTTAGGTGTTGCAGTACAGTCTTATGGAGGACTAGCTGTCAAGGATACATTGGAGGAATCAACTACAGACTTGGCGTTCATAAACAGTTAGCCCAACACACAGTTTTTTTTAGACTTTTTGATTTTTAATTTTTGTTTAATGTTTTGCATTTTTCAGCCTTTGTGAAGCAAAATTAGATTTTTCTGCAGAAGTAAATTGGATGTGTAAATCAGGAGAAATATGGACTAGAAAGAAATATTAGGCAAACAAAGTGAGATGTATGAGAATTTAAAGGAGGGGAGGAATTGTAAAGTAAATATGTTTCTCAAATTTCTTTTTATGAAGGGATAATTGTTTGGACAATATGATGTCCAAGAGGAGGGATTGTAAGGGAAAATGGAGCAACCATTTCTAGATATAAATATTGATTTAGTTCTTTATCTCTCTCTATCCTTGTCTTGGTCTTCACAATGACACAGTTACAATGAATAGAGCTTTATACAGCTGTGTGATTGTTTTAGGGGTTTATGCATAGATGCATGTACTCCTCTCAAACTTTTTAATGACCATGACCAGACTTCTTTGACATCCTGCTAAACCCAAAGGACAATGGAAGTAACAATAACATGTAGATAACTATTCGCATCTCAATGAGTTACACCAAAGACACAGATGACTCTTCAAAGAAAGATCAGATAGCTAGGTACCACCCACTGTAGAGCATATAAATTGTATTAGAAAGCCCTAGTTAGATTAGAGCATAACTTTGAATCCAACACCATGTATTGTTCTGCTCTCCCTGCATGGAGGTCTAGCTACATGCTTGTATAATAAACATCTACTTTTCAATCCGGCTTCAGCAGTCAAAATGTTACTGGAACCCATGAGTTTTGGGTTTCCCCGTCAGCCAACATACCAAAGGGACAGTTTTTAAGAATCAGGAGGAACTGTACGGACCTTGAGACATATCACACACAGGCCCAAAACCTGAAACATAAATTTCTTGAAAAAGGATATGCCTCAAAAAATTTAGATGACATTATTCAATTAGTAGCAAAGGTCGACAGGACTGAGTTACTGAGGGATAAGAACAAACAAAAACAGTCCCAAGTATGTCCATTTGTAACTACATACTCTATGCAATACAGAGCCATCAACCGCACAATCTATAGAAATTGGAACGTGTTGAAAACAGATCCAATTCTCTCAAAAATCCTACCAGAAAAAGCGGAAATTATATTCAGGAAAGCAACAGCTCTTCGCCACCGAGTGGCACCTAATGTCATTAGTCCACCAGAGAGAATTACCATTTTTAACAAACTAATAGGATTTTTTCCTTGTAATAAGTGCATTGTATGCACAGTGAATAACAGCAGAAAACATAAAACAACTTCCTTCACTTCACAAGTAACGGGAAGGGCCTATAATATAGATAAGTGCATTACATGTAATAGTAAAAATGTGGTGTACCTCCTGCAATGCCCTTGTAATCTTCAATACATAGGACGTACCACCAGACACCTTAGGGATAGGCAAAGAGAACATGTCAACAACATTAAAAAAAGGCTATAAGGAACATTCTTTGTCACATCACTACAGGAGGAAACATAAAATAGATCCATCCCCACTACAATTTATAGGGATAGATATGGTACAACCCCACTGGCAGGGTACTAATAAGCTAAGAGCTGTCTCACAACTTGAGACGTGCTGGATATATGAGCTCCATACAATGCATCCATACGGCCATAATATTGATATTGATATAAATTGTTACATCAATAATAGTTATTCCCTCCAACAATATAGTCACTTCTTTGCTACCATTACTGCTAAATACATAATGAATAGAATGAGATAGAATTCTACCCCATTCTATTCTACACAACAGATTCAACATCTTTATTAATATCCTCTTAAATATATATTGTCATTTTTACATTTTTACATACACGTGTTTTAGTACCTCCTCCTTATTATTCATTTTAAATTTGTGTATATTACGCTCATTTACCACATAGACTAATTCTCACTTCAGGTATATAAGGTTTTTATATATTTATATATTCAATTTAATTTTAATATTTCTTTTATTTTTATATTGTTTTATATACACATATGGAATATTGTTTTTTAGGGATTAATGTCTTCTTTTTGAAGTTCTACTTTTGATCTCCCTGCAGTTCTTGGAGATTATATATATATATCCTTATATGTTTCAGTACTAAAGACCTAATGTCACATTTTTCCATAGGTATACATTATGAATTGTAACGCTCATATGCTGTCAGTAAGGGTTTTTCCCTGATGTTTTGATTCCTCATTGTATCTATATATCCATCACATTTTAGATATTTCACATACTTCTGACACCTCGTATTGTCGTGTGAGTTTGCTTGAATTGAAAAATGGTGCCCGCTTAGTCGCGTCTGCGCACAAGACCAGGTCTACTCCAAGATGGCGCATGTTCAATGCGCATGCGCCATCGTGGACAAAAATAGACGGCACGCGGATAGGTGTTACTGACACTCCCCTCAGATGATTTGCGGGTGCACGAAACATGTAAGGAGGAGCCAGTAACGCCGTGACGTCACGCCGCCAGAGCAACGTGGAGCTCCAGTGGCCACCTTTAAACTTGGACGGTCAATCCACATTGCTTTACCTGCCCTGTATATAATCTTGTTGTGTTTTAACTCGGATTTCTGCAATAAATATTTCAAAGTTACTACACTATGGGCATATCTTTTTCTTATTATGATATTTATTATATCATCAACTTACTCTTGGCTCTTTTGTAGTTTGAGCTGTCAATGTATTCATTATAGCAAGGATTCGCTGACATCTGGGAATTATTTTAAGGGTTCCTCTGGGGTTAAAAGGTTGAGAAAGGGTTTTTTTTTTTAGATGTTTGTGAACAAATATGAGCCAAAAAAATTACATAAACACCATTATTTGTATGTCATCTCAAAGCCATCATTTAAGCCCTGGAAGTAAATACTAACTCAGAATGATGCTTGTACAAAGCTAGTGCCTTCCTTTCGGAGAGAAAATCAGACAAAGACATTGTCAGTGTGATCTTTGTCAACATTAATAAATCAGTGTACGTGCTACAGTTACATGGTATGTAGCATGCATACAGGGGCAGACTGACAACTCATGGGGCCCCTGGGCAATAGGGGATCATGGGGCCCCTGTGTCCTTGCCCAAACTCAAAAAATCCTATGAAAAAGGTACTATGGGCATCTCATGGGGCCCCCTACTGACTCCGGGCCCTCGGGCAGTGCCCAAGTCTCCAAATGGTCAGTCAGCCCCTGCATGCATGTATTTAACATGAAATAAATATCTTATGCTAGTTTACCTTTAAGCTACTTTTGCGTCTCTTGTCTGGCACAGTCTTGGCATGTCAGCGCTAGAATATTCCATGATGTTACAGTCAGGTCCATAAATATTGGGACATCAACACAATTCTAACATTTTTGGCTCCATACACCATCACAATGGATTTGAAATGAAATGAACATGATGTGCTTTAACTGCAGACTGTCAGCTTTAATTTGAGGGTATTTACATCTAAATCAGGTGAATGGTGTAGGAATTACAACAGTTTGCATATGTGCCTCCCACTTGTTAAAGGACCAAAAGTAATGGGACAATTGGCTTTTCAGCTGTTCCATGGCCAGCTGTGTGTTCATTCCTGAGCCACCTCTGTGTGTCTATGAGACACAGAGAGCACAGCTTAACCCCGCCCCTCACTCCCTCTTCACTGGCTGTGATTGACAGCAATGAGAGCCAATTGGGAGGCAGAGACCTGGAAGAGCTTCTGATCTCATGCGCATTGGGCTCAGGTGAGTATAAAGGGGTGCTGAGGGGGCAGCTGCACACTAACGGTTTGTTACTTTCATGCATAGAATGCATGAAGGTAAAAAACCTTCTGGCTTTAGAACCACTTTAAGGATAATTGTATTTCTTTCAGGATTGATCAAAGCGCACCTGTCCTGCTAGAAGACCCTGTACTTAATGCTATCGCTAAAAAACGTGGCCGAACTCCAGCAGAAGTAGTGATGAGGCACTTGTTGCAGAAGGAGGTTGTTGTCCTTGCTAAAAGCTTCAAGCCAGAGAGGATCAAACAGAACTTGAAGGTTTGTATTGCAGTTATTGTCAGCAGCATACTTGTACTTTGCGCAATATTTAAGCAGTTCAGCTTTCACACCTGTACATTTCCTTCAGACCACAGCAATTTCTACATCTGCTGTTTACTTAGCTATAAAGCCTAGTTTGCACCAATGCAGTTTCATTTTGATCTGTTTCTGCAGTGTTTTTTTCCGATGCAGTTTGCATTTATGATGCGTTTTTCATGCGTTTTGTGTTTTTTTTTTTTTTTTTTTTACTATTTGTTGTTGGGCAGATTAAAAAATGCAAAACACATAAAAAAGCATTAAAAAAGCAGTATATGTTTTTCTTCTCCATTAAAGTCTATTGAACCAAAAATGCACCATTTTGCATTTAAAAAAGTCTTTGACCCTTTCCAAAAATGCAGCAGCTGAAAAAAGCATAGTTGTGAACGTGTCCCACAAGAAACCATGTTAAATTTTAGTGTGTTTTCCGCATAAAGCACCAAAAATGCATAGGTTTGAACCAGGCCTAAGATATCAAAGCAATACATACAGTGGGGCAAAAAAGTATTTAGTCAGCTACCAATTGTGCAAGTTCTCCCACTTAAAAAGATGAGAGAGGCCTGTAATTGGCATCATAGGTAGACCTCAACTATGAGAGACAAAATGAGAAAAAAATCCAGACAATCACATTTCCTGATTTGGAAAGAATTTATTTGCAAATTATGGTGGAAAATAAGTATTTGGTCAATATCAAAAGTTCATCTCAATACTTTGTTATATATCCTTTGTTGGCAATGACAGAGGTCAAACGTTTCCTGTAAGTCTTCACAAGGTTGGCACACACTGTTGCTGGTATGTTGGCCCATTCCTCCATGCAGATCTCCTCTAGAGCAGTGATGTTTTGGGGCTGTCGCTGTGCAACACGGACTTTCAACTCCCTCCAAAGGTTTTCTATGGGGTTGAGATCTGGAGACTGGCTAGGCCACTCCAGGACCTTGAAATGCTTCTTACGAAACCATTCCTTCGTTGCCCGGGCGGTATGTTTGGGATCATTGTCATGTTGGAAGACCCAGCCACGTTTCATCTTCAATATCCTTGCTGATGGAAGGGGGTTTGCACTCAAAATCTCACGATACATGGCCCCATTCATTCTGTCCTGTACAAGGATCAGTCGTCCTGGTCCCTTTGCAGAGAAACAGCCCCAAAGCATGATGTTGCTACTCCCATGCTTCACAGTAGGTATGGTGTTCTTTGGATGCAACTCAGCATTCTCTCTCCTCCAAACACGACGAGTTGTGTTTCTACCAAACAGTTCTATTTTGGTTTCATCTGACCATATGACATTCTCCCAATCCTCTTCTGGATCATCCAAATGCTCTCTAGCATTTGTTCACACCAAGCTGCTTGCCTATTGCAGATTCAGTCTTCCCAGCCTGGTGCAGGTCTACAATTTTGTTTCTGGTGTCCTTCGACAGCTCTTTGGTCTTCACCATAGTGGAGTTTGGAGTGTGACTATTTGAGGTTGTGGACAGGTGTCTTTTATACTGATAACAAGTTCAAACAGGTGCTATTGATACAGGTAATGAGTGCAGGACAGAGGAGCCTCTTAAAGACGAAGGTACAGGTCTGTGAGAGCCAGAAATCTTGCTTGTTTGTAGGTGACCAAATACTTATTTTCCACCATAATTTGTAAATAAATTCTTTCCAAATCAGCCAATGTGATTGTCTGGATTTATTTTCTCATTTTGTCTCTCATAGTTGAGGTCTACCTACGATGCCAATTACAGGCCTCTCTCATCTTTTTAAGTGGGAGAACTTGCACAATTGGTGGCTGACTAAATACTTTTTTGCCCCACTGTATATACACTATATTGCCAAAAGTATTGGGCCAACCCTCCAAATCTTTGGATTCAGGTGTTCCAATCACCTCCATGAACACAGGTGTATAAAATCAAGCACCTAGGCATGCAGACTGCTTCTACAAACATTTGTGAAAGAATGGGTCGCTCTCAGGAGCTCAGTGAATTCAAGCGTGGTACCATGATAGGTTGCCACCTGTGCAATAAGTCCATCCATGAAATTTTCTTGCTACTATATATTCCACGGTCAACTGTTAGTGGTATTATAACAAAGTGGAAGCAACTGAGAACAACAGCCCCTCAGCCATGAAGTGGTAGGCCACGTAAAATGACAGAGCGGGGTCAGCGCGTGCTGAAGTGCATAGTGAGCAGACATCTCCAACTGTCTGCAGAGTCAATAGCTAAAGACCTCCAAACTTTGTGTGGCCTTCAGATTAGCACAACAACAGCGCATAGAGAGCTTTATGGAATGGGTTTCCATGGCTGAGAAGTTGCATTCAAGCCTTACACCACCAAGTGCAACACAAAACGGCAGGTGCAGGGGTGTAAAGCAAGTCACCACTGCACGCTAGAGAAGTGGAGATGTGTTCTCTGGAGTGACAAATCACATTTCTCTGCCTTGCAATTTAATGGATGTGTCTGGGTTTGGCGGTTGCCAGGAGAACAATACTTGCCTTCCTGCCTGTATTGTGCCAAGTCTAAAGTTTTGTGGAGGGGGGATTATGGTGTGGGGTTATTTTTCAGAAGTTGGCCCCTTAGTTCCAGTGAGGGGAACTCTTAATGCGTCAGCATACCAAGACATTTTGGACATTTTCATGCTCCCAACTTTATGGGAACAGTTTTGGGATGGTCCCTTCCTGTTTCAACATGACTGCGCACCAGTGTACACAGCAAGGTCCATAAAGACATAGATGAGGGAGTTTGGGGTGGAGGAACTGACCTGCACAGAGTCCTGATCTCAACCTGATAGAACACCTTTGGGATGAAATAGAGCGGAGACTGTGAGCCAAATGCGCTTCTGGAAGAATGGTCAAATATTCCCATAGACACACTCCTAAACCTTGAGGACAGCCTTCCCAGAATAGTTGAAGCTGTTATATCTGCAAAGGGTGGGCTAACTCAATATTGAACCCTACGGACTAAGACTGGGATGCTATTAAAGTTCATGTGTGTGTAAAAGCAGGCATCCCAATATTTTTGGCAATATAGTGTAATTTGATATTTTGATTTTCAAAGTTATTTACAAATTAAACATAGGCTTATTTAAAATTTTGCACATTTTTAATGCAACACATAAACATTAATAAACAAAACAAATAAAAATTAACAAAATTTAAATATTAATGGTTAGAAAAGTAAAAATAAACAAAAAGAATCATTGGGAAAAAATAGGGGTAGAAGGGAAAGAAGGAGTTAATTAAAGCTGATTAGGGTAAAAAGGGTTATTAAGAAGTTGAACAGGGACAATTTTTTTTTTGCTTGTCAGGTTGCTTGAGTTGACATCATACATGTGTATATTAACACTGATCCCCTTGATCTATAGATGAATGAAGCAGAAAAGAACAATGTTACTTTGTATCTCTCATAAACACTGTGTTAGATGCTGATGCATGTATTCACTTTCACATTAATCATTGTCTGTTTTTTTTTTATTGTAAGTTGACGCATACCAACAGAAAGTAGAAATCAGGGTTTCAGTGAGAGTGACTATTCTGGAAGTTGATGGGCAGGATAGGGAGGTCCTTGGGTGAGCTAAGAGGAAGGAGAGGTCAAATGTTGAGCCTTGGCCTGATATTCACCAGTTGTTGTGTACCTAATAGAAAACTAAAATGAAGAGGTTGGCCTGCCTTAAATCTCCGGCCCAAGCACCACTTGAAGTGAGACAGGTATTGCCAAGGGACAGACAGGAGGAACATGAGTGCCAGTAGATGTTGATGGCAGAACCTTGGGCTGGAGATGCAGACTTAAAAAAGATGTAGCAGAACATCTGGTCAGGTACAGCAGCACTGCTAGAAGAACCAGTGGAGGTTAAAGGGGAACTCTGATTGCCTCGTAGATTCAGAAGGTGGAGTCCATTATCATTTCCAGTGAGCTTTTGGTAGGAAAACATAGGAATGACTGGAGGCTGATGCTAAATGCAGCCAGTGCAGGCACTTGGTAACAGTGTGGAAGCAAATCAGAGGTAGAAGTGTAGTCACATAGGAAGGCAGGGTCAGCAGCAAGCAGGCAGCAAGGTACAAAATCATATTTCGAACCAAAGTTGTGGATGGAGCTTTTAAGCAACAGTACATGCAGAATCCAGAATCAGACCTGGGCGAGCCGGATCAGTATCAGGAACCATATACTGGACACAATCAGGGCACAGGATACAGCTGAAGATCAGTAAACACTGGCATCCTGGCTAACTGAAATTCCCTGATACCAGTAGTCCAAAGATGCAGAAGTAAAAGACTACAATGCAGAGTTGTACCAGGGGAGAAAGTAGCAGCACAAGAAGTGAATCAGTTGTGCTACAGTGCAAGAAGCATGTTGATAGGAGAGAGCAGACTGAAATAGAGATCAGCTCATCAGTCTGCTGCTTCTCTTTTCACTGTCCAGTCACAGGAATTTAAAAAAAGCTCAACTCCAGCTAAAACTTTTTTGGCTTTGGCAGAGTTTGGAAGGTATACACCCCTGTCACTTTTTTATACAGTGCACACTGAGCTCAGAGTGGAAGAAGGAGAAACAGCACTTGAAGCTAATCAGTTGTGCTGCAGTGTTTGTGTGAAAGTGCTGATCAAAGATGTGGACAGAGTGACAGAGAAATCAGCTTATCAGTCAGCTCCTTGTATAGTCACTGTCCAATCATAGGGTAGGGGAGGGTCAAGACCTGTAAGAATTTCATAACTGCAGTGGAAAAAAAACAGGTCTCCTGCCCTGCCAGACAGGGCTGTGCTGATTTTACATGTTATACAATTTAATTCAGTGTTCCACAATAAAGAAAAATTCACACAACCACTATATTTACACAGGAGATATAGACAATGTATGAAAACATGAGCCCGTAAAATATATTTATAATAATCATTGCAAATAAATCCCAAAATCAAAATATCAACTATGCCATTATCTTCAAATCAAACAGTTTTCCTAAAAGTGCTTGGCAAAACAACAAGTTCTCTCACTTCTTCTACCTCTGATCTAATAAGAACTTACCTCAAACTGTGCTCAATAAACATCTCTAATTATTTATTTTAAAAGTTTAAAACCAATCAGTTACAAATATGCACATGTAGACACCCAACGTACCAATTATCAGCC